AAAAAAAAAAAAAAATGCAAAAATTATCCAGGCATGGTAGTGCATACCCTGTAGTCCCAGCTACTCAGGAGGCTGAGGCAGGAGGATCACTTGAGCCCAGGAGGTCAAGGCTGCATGCAGTGAGCTAAGATTGTGCCACTGCATTCCAGCCTGTATAACAGAGACCCTGCCTCATAAAGAGAAAGAGAGAGAGAGAGAGACATGGCCACAGAGCAGGAATGTTTGAATAGGGCCCTCCAGAGGCAGAGCCACCCCAGGAGATGACAAGAACCAAGTATGTCCCTGGCACCAGGTGGCTGAAGTAGAGGGAAGAAGAAGGAGGTTGGAGACAACATAGAGAATCCAGAGGTCAGATGGGAGTGGGCCGCCGCCGGGCCTCTGCAGGCAGGTGGGCCACTGCCAGGCCCTGGGGAGGAGAGAGTCCATGGGCCAGGCGGCCAATCCAAGGTCAGTTTCCATGGAGTGGGGGAAAGGGTGTAGTGACCAGACTCCAAGACACTTGGGGGAATAGGGAGAATGAGCAGTTGCCACAGCTGCACGGGAGGGGCTAGTGCTTGTGAACTGCAGCAAAGACTCATTCACTCCAGGAATGGAAGGAAGACATGTTCTTGGAGCCTGGAGACAGGGTCTGAAGGGCTGGCAGTGGCTGCACCACCAGGACCTCATCGGTGACAACCCTGTGATCAGTGCTCCGGCCCCTGCAGGCTTCCTGGAGAGCAGAGCATGGTCAGATGGCCTGGAGCTGAGCCAAGGGGCAAGATCCAGCCTGCACACCTGTTTAATTTGGACCACATGGCATTTTTTAAAACTCCAAGCCCCCAGGCTTTTGAGCTGGTTACCAGTACTGAAACTTCACATAGGGAGCCAGTTTTCCAGTTTCTCTTGAACATTTGGAATATCTAGCAACACTGATTCAATTTCTTTTTTTTTTTCCCCCATTTATTTATTTTATTGCATTTTAGGTTTTGGGGTACATGTGAAAAACATGCAAAATTGTTGCATAGGTACACACGTGGCAGTGTGATTTCCTGCCTTCCTCCCCATCACCTATATCTGGCATTTCTCCCCATGCTCTCTCTCCCCAGCTCCCCACCCCCCACCGTCCCTCCCCTATTTCCCCCCAACTGACCCCAGTGTGTAGTGCTCCCCTCCCTGTGTCCATGTGTTCTCATTGTTCAACACCCGCCTATGAGTGAGAACATGCGGTGTTTGATCTTCTGCTCTTCTGTCAGTTTGCTGAGAATGTTGGTTTCCAGGTTCATCCATGTCCCTACAAAGGACACAAACTCATCATTTTTGACGGCTGCATAATATTCCATGGTGTATATGTGCCACATTTTCCCTATCCAGTCTATCATCGATGGGCATTTGGGTTGGTTCCAGGTCTTTGCTATTGTAAACAGCGCTGCAATGAACATTCGTGTGCACGTGTCCTTATAGTAGAACGATTTGTAATCCTTTGGATATATACCTAGTAATGGGATTGCTGGGTCAAATGGAATTTCTATTTCTAGGTCCTTGAGGAATCGCCACACTGTCTTCCACAATGGTTGAACTAATTTACACTCCCACCAACAGTGCAAAAGTGTTCCTATTTCTCCACATCCTCTCCAGCATCTGTTGTCTCCAGATTTTTTAATGATCGCCATTCTAACTTATCCAGAATTTACAAAGAACTAAAACAGATTTACAAGAGAAAAACTAACAAGCCCATTCAAAAGTGGGCAAAGGATATGAACAGACACTTTACAAAAGATTCAATTTCATTCATTGAGCAGATATTTATTAAGCATCTACTTCGTCAGACACTGTGGTCGGCACTGAGAATATGGCAGTGAACGAAAGAGAGGAACAGCCCTGGGTGCCTTGGAGTTGACCTTCCGGCGTCCACCAGGGCTTCAATTATTTGGTGCTGCATAGCAGAGGCCCCATGAACAGGGCACCCTCCCATCAGATTCACACACGTGGCAGCTGTGGGAGGCTGGGTTTGCAGTCCCTGATGCAGACCAGCTCTTCATGTACAGTCTGGGAAACAGACAGCAGTGAGACCTGCTCAAGTACACCCAGTGGAACTCACAACAGCCACACACAGCAATAGGCTCAGTCATCTCATTTTATCACCCTATTCCCTTGTGAGGTCTGTTTCAGGATGTCCTTTTTTTTTTTTTTTTTTTTTGAGACTGAGTCTTACTCTGTTGCCCAGGCTGGCATGCAGTGGCGCAATCTTGGCTCACTGCAACTTCTACCTCTCGAGTTCAAGCGACTCTCCTGCCTCAGCCTCCTGAGTAGCTGGGATTACAGGCATGTGCCACCATGCCTGGCTAATTTTTTTTTTTAAGTAGAGACAGGGTTTCACCATGCTAGCCAGCTGGTCTCAAACTCCTGACCTCATGATCCACCCACCTCATCCTCCCAAAGTGCTGGGATTACAGGCATGAGGCACTGCACCCAGCCTCAGGATGTCCACTTTCTAGGTGAGGAAGAGGAGGATGAGGAAGGCAGCGCTTGCCTAGAGTGCAGAGGCTGGATTCACCCAACTTATCTGACTCCAACACCAATGTGATTTCCAAGCCCCAGGCACGAATTCATTGGGCAAAGGCTCTGTAGCAAAATGACAAAAATAGGCTGGAACAGGCAGGCATATCAGGCAGGAATAGAAAGTGGGAAAGGGAAAATAATATCTGATCCCTCTTCTAATCTGAGCGAACTGACCCCAATACACCCTCCTTTCTTCTTTCTCAGCCTGCCTTAAGCTGGTGGCTGATCAAAACCCTTTCTAGGGCTTGAGAAAACCAATCCCACACTCAAGAAGCATGTGCTGGCCAGTGAAATCAGACCACGTTGCTCACAGGATGTAGTTCTACGGTACACTGCAGCCACAGTCAGAAGTCAGACACCTGATTTATGGGATGCACATAAGTAACATTTACCAAAGGCCAGCAAACAGCTCCACAGTGGGAGAGAAACTGGCAAACCCATACAATAGAATTTTTTTGCCCTTCTATGTGAAAGGTCAGTTACTCATTTGCAGAGGGAGAAATTTCTGCCTTGACTAAAATGATCGATGCTACGGGACAAGGTATTTCTGAATATTTCTGAATTCTCATGGGTCTGCTTGACAGGTCTGCCAGGCGTGTTCCACACCTAGCGCCAGGCCCAGGCCACACCTGCGGTGCTAACACCTGGTCGGAGGGAGGAATTAGCAAATACTCTTCCAGCATCCCCAGCTCCAGCACCCATGTGGGCTTCCACTTTCTCCCTGAGAGAGGCCAAGTAGAGAGAGATGAGGAGCTTCCACTCCAATCCGCTCCCAGCTTTGGGCCTGTCCTGGGCTCCAGAACCACGTGATCAGAGGCCATCTGTTGCCTTCGCTGCTCTCTGCAGTGGGAAAGTGAAAAAGCTGCCCCCACTCTGCCCCATCATCACCCCAATCCATCATGAGGAGTGAGCAGTGCTAAGGCCTTCCAAATCCCAGCCTTGGGGAAACTCCCTGATGTTGCAATGACCACAAGCAGGTTCTTGTTCGCTAGGGATGAGTCACAAGTTTGAGGAGGAGCAGGTCGGAAGCAACCCTGGGAAATGTCCCTCCCCACCCCTGCTCCCACCACAGCTCCCAGGGACCTGGGCATCTAACCAGGGCTGATCCGAGCCCTGGGATCCCGCTGAGCTCCACGCTGGCCTCTACGCGCCTGCAGCAGAACCCAGCCCATCCTGATTGATTCATCAGGTTTTGATGAAGAGCAATTGCTCCCTAAACCGTTGATGTTTTCTCCACCCCTGACTCCCCTCCCTGGAAGAGGAGTGGCTTCTCTGATTGTCCAGTTTCAAAAAAGAAAGGAATTGGGCCTGTAGAGCTCAGTTCCTTCCTCCATTCTCACTCTTTGGGAAGTGTCTGACTGCAGATCGGTCTTCTCTTGGCCATAAGGTAAGCATAGAGTTGAAGGCTCTGCCCTCACGGAGAAAGTCATCAGCATTGCCTGGGCCTTCATAAGTCAGCCTGACTCTGGGATTCAGTATCAAAAAGTCCATTTTGTGGCCGCATGTCTGAGTGATACCTTCCAGCCTAGCCCTTATCAGTAATAAAGAGGATACTGCAGTCCCGTGCACTGACTCCTCCATCTGCCTCTTTAGTGCAGAACTCATGAGGGAAAACAGGCGTGCCTTCACACCCCGTCTCCTACTATCCTACCCATCTCTGACTATAGAGGACGCAAACTCCAAATATTCGTTATCCTGGAGAAAGCTTACTGGTGAACTGCAAATCTGATTCATCGGAGATTTTTCACAAAATCCTTACTAATATCTTAGTGAGTTCTCATGTAGGGTTTCTTAGACCTGTAGATATTTTGGACCCAGTAGTTTTTTGTGATGGATGGCTGTCCTGTGCGTTATAGGATGCTTAGCAGCATCCCAGGTCTTTATGTATTAGACGCCCAGAGCAGCCTCCTTCTCCCAGTAGTGGCAACCGGCATGTCTCAAGACATTACAAATGTCCCATATGGGGCAAAATCACCCCTTTCCCCAGCTGAGAACTACATTTTAGCTGATCTGACCCAATTATTCAACAATGGCCTCAAGAATATCCTGGGTGTCTAAAGAGAATTCTGGGAGGTGGTGGGACTGAAACTGAGTCACTGGTTCAGTCACTCACCACTTGCAGAGTTCAATGAACAAGAATGAGGTCTGGTACAAAGAAAGTGATTTATTTCCAAAGCTTCACTTAGGGGAAGAAGTACAAGCTCCTGCCTTAAGGGTGCCGCTTTGCTTTCGGGGAGAAAGCAGGGGCTGTTGAAATGGGACTTGGCATGAATGGCATTCAAGGGAGGGAGTGGGCATGTGGGGGGGTCTATGTGACTCTTCCTAGTTCTGTCTGTGATGGTGCCAGCTCAACTACTTGGCAGAGCAGAACTAGGTTGCAAAGTGGCCCGTTGTCCTGAGATACTGTCCAGGAGGGAGAGAGTTTCCTAGCGGGCATACTCGAGGTTGTAAATTGACTAATGTCTCTCGAGGCAGTCTCCTGGTGGGAGAGATGTCAGGCACTGGAGCTTCTAAGCGAGCACATGGATAGATAAGCTTGCCCTATAGGGAGTGTCTGGTGAGGGGAAGGTTATAAATTGCATCTCTAAAGAGCTAAGTAGAAAGTGGGGAACAGGAGGAAAGAGAAAAGAAGAAAATAATAATTTTAAAAGGCATTGACAGAAGAGCAGAAGATCAAACACCACATGTTCTCACTCATAGGCGGGTGTTGAACAATGAGAACACATGGACACAGGGAGGGGAGCACTACACACTGGGGTCAGTTAGGGGGAAATAGGGGAGGGACGGTGGGGGGTGGGAAGCTGGGGAGAGAGAGCAAGGGGAGAAATGCCAGATGTAGGTGATGGGGAGGAAGGCAGCAAATCACACTGCCACGTGTGTACCTATGCAACAACTTTGCATGTTTTTCACATGTACCCCAAAACCTAAAATGCAATAAAATAAATAAATGGGGGAAAAAAAAAAGCATTGGCTACAAAAGCCAAAATAGACAAATGGGACCTAATTAAACTCCACAGCTTCTGCATGGCAAAAGAAACAATAACTGTTTCTTTTTGCTATCTACCCATCTGACAAAGGACTTATATCCAAAAATCTACAGAGAACTAAAACAGATTTACAAGAAAAAAACAAACGAGCCCATTCAAAAGTGGGCGAAGGATATGAACAGACACTTTACAAAAGAAGACATACATGAGGCCAACAAACATATGAAAAAATGCTCATCATCACTGGTCATCAGAGAAATGCAAATCAAAACTACATTGAGATACCATCTCACACCAGTTAGAATGGCGATCATTAAAAAATCTGGAGACAACAGATGCTGGAGAGGATGTGGAGAAATAGGAACACTTTTACACTGTTGGTGGGAGTGTAAATTAGTTCAACCACTGTGGGAGACAGAGTGGCGATTCCTCAAGGACCTAGAAATAGAAATTCCATTTGACCCAGCAATCCTATTACTGGGTATATATCCAAAGGATTATAAATCCTTCTACTATAAGGATACATGCACATGAATGTTCATTGCAGCACTGTTTACAATAGCAAAGACCAGCCCAAATGCCCATCAATAATAGACCGGACAGGGAAAATGTGGCACATATACACCATGGAATATTATGCAGCCATCAAAAATGATGAGTTTGTGTCCTTTGCAGGGACATGGATGAACCTGGAAACCATCATTCTCAGCAAACTGGCACAAGAACAGAAAATCAAGCACCACGTGTTCTCACTCATAGGCGGGTGTTGAACAGTGAGAACACATGGACACAGGGAGGGGAGCATCACACACTGGGGTCTGTTGAGGGGAAATAGGGGAGGGACAGCAAGGCGTTGGGAGTTGGGGAGAGAGAGCATGGGGAGAAATGCCAGATATAGGTGAAGGGGAGGAAGGCCGCAAATCACAGTGCCATGTGTGTACCTATGCAACAATCTTCCATGTTCTTCACATGTACCCCGAAACCTAAAATGCAATAAAAATAAATCCAGCTCACTCTCTTTCTCTTAGAAAAGCGGGGGTACTTATTTATAGGACTTCAGCCCTTGAAGAATTGGATTTTACAAAACGAAGGAGGGAGGCCATGGCGCTGGGAAGGAAAGAGTCAGCAAAGGGAGGCTTGGAGGCCATCGGTGATGGGATGGCAGGTAAGTAGGAGGATCACACAAACAGCAACTGGAATGACAACATGCCAACTCTGCACAGTCAATCCGGGCCGTCTCTGGCATGAATTGCACACACAAGTATTTGCTGACCTCATTAGAGCAGAATCTCTCTGCAAGGGCAATACCTGGCATCCGCTTCTAATGCGTCGCTCTTATTGATTTTGGTGTCATTCCCTGGGTTTCACAACCCCCTCAGCCAATGCCTTGTGGCTTATTCCAGTGTGATTTTCCCTTCACTGTCCTACAGCCAACCTTGTGGCAGGGAAAACGGAAGACTGGGAAGGGGTGAGAAAGGAAGAAATGGACTCATCCATCATGAACAAAATGCCAACATTCTTAGTACAATCAGGACCCAATGGGACCTGGGTGACTTTGAGGGAAGTAAATGGAGCATGGAGATGCCTCGTCAAATCACGTCTTTATTTAAGCTTTCGAGGTTTTCTTCATCATGGATGTTTTTGCATTAATTTTGATTTTTTAAAACTTTGTGTTATTGTTTGATTACAGATGTGCTCCTGCCTTAGACTTTGTGCCCAGGTGAGAGTCTCATTCGCCTCACCCTAATCCCACCCTGAATGGGAGGGTGGGGGGCTGCATTTCCAGTAGAGCGATCTAGCAGAGAAGCTTCCACTGGCTTCTATTTCACACTCCTCTGTAGACACCCCTCAGGGAAGGTCGCAGATCTTTATCTGAATACAAAGCACATTGCTATTCTCTCATGCCCCAAACATGGCTTTATCGGTCTGCGGTGAAAGTGCCACCAGGAGCCTGGTGTGCTGGCCCTGTGTTTACAGGGAGAAATTAATCGTGGAATAACATGACATTTTTATTTTTAATCTACACAGTGTCCTTGACTAAGAGGAAGCTGTCACCGACAAGCTCCATGAAAGAGGACAGTTAGGATCTTTCCAAGTCCTTCCCACGGCGGCATGTGGGGTCGGAATTTGCACAGGCCCAGGTGCCACGCTTGGTAGGGGGTGATTTTCAAATCAAGTTCCACTGAGAAGAGAGCGGGCGCCCCCTGCTGGCACCAAGGGCCGACTGCTCTTTCCCCACACGTGATTTTGCACACACTTTCTTTCCAAGCAGGCCCTTACATGGGTCAACCACAGATCCGTTCCAAAGCGAAACAGAACACGGAAACAGGACAAGGCAACAATGTCTCTTGAAAGGGGGTTGCTTAAAGACCTCTTCAAACAAAAATTTAAAAAGATAACGTGTTTTGTGGGCATGTCAATAGATAACTTCTATAGGAAGGCAGTTGAGGATAGCTACCTAAATTTCTTTCTTTCTTTCTTTCTTTTTTTGAAACAGAGTTTTGCTCTTGTTGCCCAGCCTGGAGTGCGGTGGCACGATCTGAGCTCACTGCAACCTCCGCCTCCCGGGTTCAAGCGATTCTCCTGCCTCAGCCTCCCAAGTAGCTGGGATTACAGACATGCCCCACCACGCCCGGGTAATTTTGTATTTTTAGTAGAGACGGGTTTCTCCATGTTGATCAGGCTGGTCTCGAACTCCTGACCTCAGGTAAGCCACCTCCCAAAGTGCTGGGATTACAGGTGTGAGCCACCGCGCCCAGCCAGCTACCTAAATTTCAAATGATCGTCCTATATGGACACAGCGTTACTCCTTATAGTGATTTATCCAACAGATAGAAGGAATGGAGGAGCAGCAAAGTCAAGTGGCTCAAGGTGAACTTTTAGGGTGGAGATTTGGCTAAAATTCCACTTCATTGGCACCAAATGGAAATAAAGGCTGGGCCACGTTAAGATCGCTTTCCAAATGGAACCTAGAATGGACAATTAAGAAGGAATTAGAACGGACTCTGGTGTGAAGAAAAAAGTTATGTCCTGAAAGTGTCAGAGTTGAGGGAAGTAAAATTTTAAACTGAAATGGAGGCACAGGGGAAATTGTATTTGGCCTTTGAAGTGTTTATTATCAATGGAAGAAGGATTTCTGGCTGTGGCATTAGAACACTGATACTTTGTTAAAAATAGCACAGATGCTGGTATCTTTTTCACTCATCCTTTACTAAATGTTAAACAGTTTATGGAGGGATTGCCTTGAAGTTTCCATCATTGAAAATAACTGGGCCACATCTGGGCTGACAAAATGTTCATGTTCAAGTTCTGAAAGTCAAGTTAGTACTTTGCACTGAGCAGCTGAGTCTTCCTCTATACCTCAGTGGAACCCAAATCTGAAAGAATGTCTCATCCTCTTCTGGTAAGCTTAGAAATTCTTTCTGAAGGATGCACCAATGTTCATTTTTCTCCGTTATTCCAAATCCCAGAAAACTTGGTCTCCAACACCCTTTTTGAGATTGATTTTTAAATACCACCCTGGTTATATCTCTAAGATCAGATTTCCTTGTAACTAGGCAATCCTAAATATCAGAGCTGGCTCTCCCACCTTCCCCGATGCCACCCCAGATCTGTGTTTAATGCCAGGGAAGCAGAAGTCCAGATGCCCAGACACAAGAGGAGACTAGGTGGTGTCTTCAAACCTAGGAATCCCAACTCTGACACTGTTTCCCAGTGGTTTACGTTCCTTTCCTCAGCATTGTGAATGGTTCCTCAAATCTCTCAGAGAGCAGAGCAAATTGATTTATATTTGTAAGGAACAAATGTCTAGGATGAATAACAGTGTTTCATCTCTTGCATATTGGAGTTTGTTATCTTTTTCTTTTACCGTTTCTATGATGTGGAGAGTTTGATATCTTCTCACTGGATTCTGAGCTCCCTGAGGGCAAGGACCAGATCTTTCCTCTCTAGCACAGGGCTTTGCACACAGTACACTTTCAAGAAACAGTAACAATATCTAAGTCTTACATCATACTTACTGTGTGCCAGAGAGACACTGTTTGAAGCACTTCCCATATATTAACTCCTGGAATCCTCATAACAATTGTATTATTATTTTATACAGAAGGAAGCACAGAAAGGTTAAGTAACTTCCCCAAGGCCACACAGATCAGAAATAGTGGAGCCTGAGTTTAGCCCCAAGTAGCCTAACTCTAACATCTATACTCTTAGCCACTGTGCCATGGCTCCCAAACTTGTCTACGTATTAGTCCCATGGAGAGCTTTGCAAATATACCCTAGGGACTGGGATTTAGCTGATCTTTGGTGTGGCCTGCACTGTGTCCATTTTTGAGAGATCCCCTGGTTCCTCTCAAGTGCAGACAAGTTCTGAGACCCAGTGTATTACACTGCCCTGCCCCATTCACCAGCAGATGTTTGCTGAATGGGATTTGCTCTGTGTGGAACTGCTTTCAGAAATATAAACAAGCCCAGAGGAAAGAAATCCTAACTCTGGCAACAGCAAATTATCTTTGAGTGCAGCGGAATGTAATTCCAATAGAGTGTGTAAGCACATGGGTCTGCAGTCAGAAATTCCTGCATTCAGAGTCTAAATGGGCTGGTTATGATCTGCAGGTAGCAGTCAGGCCAGGTGCTCACCAACCTCAATTTCCTTCCTTCCCTGGCACATAGGTAGACTGCATTACCCATGTTTCCTGTTGGCTGTGACCACGACAGAATTCTGACCACTGTGGGCAATAGTGATGTTTGCTCCTGTCTCCCTGGCTATGTCCTGGCCATAGTCCTCCTGTCTCTCCTGTGCAGAGATCCCAGCTGGGGATTTTGAAGTTCCATGGTATGCAGAGCCATAAGATGGAAGGAGCCTGGGCTTGTCAATCACTGCTTGAAGGAGAGCTGTCAGATATTCCAGAATGCCAACTGGGCTTTCTGTAAATGAGAAATAAACCTCTCTTTTTGTTAAGCTGCTGAGATTTGGGGATCTAGCTGTCACTAGTGACTAGGGATCCTTAACAAGTACATGGTGTGGCTTGGGATAGGTTGCTTAACCTAAGCCTTGTTTTGTCATCAGCAAAATACAAATAATGGCACAAATGTGCACCAGACAAAGTAGATTCACTCTCCCCTTTTCTGCCCCTGCCCTCCACCTTGCCCTCTGCCCAGAACCCTGTGCCTTATGGACTGGGCATGAGTCAGGTTCCACCCATGAGAGGCTCCAGCAGGAGATGGGAGGGCAGGAAAGTGGGGGTGGGCATCTATCCCTCTGGCTGCTTCCCTCCACCTTGGGTCATAGCTCCGGTCAGGCAGCCCCTCTTTCAGCTGTAAGTTCTGGGATTCACTCCCTTAGTCTTTTCAGGACTGCAGCTGTGCCTGGTGTTGCTTCAGTCTCTTGAGAGATGGGATGAAGACAGAGGGGTATCCTATTCCCATTCCCACCAGGAGAGACACAAAAGGTGAGAAACAGCCATTGGCTCACATGACTTTGAGGCCAGGGCAGGCCCAGAGCTGAAAGTGGATTAAAGAAGAGCTATCAAGTCTTCACTTGGCTCAGAGACAGCCACGGGGTGCCTGTGGGCTTCCTTTACCCTGTGCTGCCCACCATGTGCTGAGTATTTCCTTCCTAGCACCTGCCCATCACAGGGAGTGGTCATGTCTCTTGCTGGGCCCCTGGCTGACACTGAATGTGAATGCTACATTGTCGATAATGACAGCAAATGTGAATGTCACCCTACCCTGGTGAATGGGGCAGGGCAGTGTAATGCACTGGGTCTCAGAACTTGTCTGCACATGAGAAGAACCAGGGGATCTCTCAAAAATGCCAAAGCCTAGGCCACACCAAAGACCAGCTAAATCCCAATCCCTGGGGTGTATTTTTAAAGCTCCCCAGGAGACTAATGTGCAGACAAGTTTGGGAACCATGCCACAGTAGCTGAGTGTTGTCGAGTGCTGAGCAGAGGAGTTGCCACATAGGAAACATTCAATCAATGTTGAGCTTTTATTTTATATATATTTTTACTTTAAAAGTTATCACAAGTATTGCTAAAATCAAGAAAACGTGAGCTTACATTGAATAAAGGACGCCTGTAAGTAGTGATCATGTGATCTTGGGCAAAGAATTTCCCCGCTCTGGGCTTCGGCTTCCTCAACTGCAGACAGGACTAGATGACTGTGCTGCAAAGTTTGACAAAGAAAAGGAGAGCATGCTGTGGTGGGAAAGAGAGAGGAAGGGAGGGTGGCCAGGCCTGCCTGCAAGTGGAGCCTCTGCGCTGAGATGCAGGAGCAGGCGGAGATCCAGAGGGAGCACCCGAGTGGGGTGGCCACGGCACTTGGTCTTGCCCCAGGCTGTGCATGGTTTTTCTCAGGGGAGCTCTTAGCCCACTGGATTTTTAACGGGATTTTTGTCATACTTGGCATATTTGGCCATGTCTGGAGACATCTTTGGTTGTCGCAACTGGGAGAGGGGACTTTGTGCCTGGCATCCAGTGGCCAGAGGCCGGCATGGGGTGGGGGTTGGCAACGTCCCCTGCATCCTGCAATACATAGGCTGGTCCCAAATGTCAAGTGCTGAGGTGGAGAACCCCTGCTTGAGCCACACGCTGAGATTTTGCCTTAATCGGTGTTGACTGTGGCCGGTGTTGCAGCATTTAAAGAAAGAAATATTGCAGGTGGCGCTAATTCCTGCTCACAGGCATGCAGAACCAAACCGATAGGGTGGCTAAGCACAGCCAGGAGAGGGAAGAAGGGCTGGAGGCGCCAGGAGGAGACCAAGTGCATTTTCTTGCTCAAATATTCTAAGAGCCTTTAATCTCAATCCTCTAGCAAAATTCTGTGGTTTCCCAATTAGTGAAGAGGTTCTGCTAATTTAGATAACTGCTCGAAGCTGTTCTTAAATGAAGTCCCGGGAAGAGCAAGAGGTCTGGGAGTCAAACCATGGAACAGTGAGCAAGTTTCTTGACCTCTCTGAACCCGTCTCCTCCTCTGGAAAACAGGGACTCTAGTTACTGCCTCTCAAGCAGGGGCTGCGAGATTATAAAAAGAATACACCAGGATACCTGGCACACAGTGAGCCTCTCACAATTGTCCCTTTCCCTCTCTTCAAGAGCCACGTGTTAAGTGTGACTTGTCATTTTTTCCTAATTGTTCAAAGTGGATATATAGTGACATCTGTCACACCACCTTTTAAAGTAATTTGTCTTTATGTCTAGCCGGGCACAGTGGCTCATACCTGTAATCCCAGCACTTTGGGAGGAAGAGGCAGGCAGATCACCTGGGGTCAGGAGTTCGAGAGCAGTCTGGCCAACATGGTGAAACCCTGTCTCTACTAAAAACACAAAAAAGTAGCCAGGCATGGTGGCGGACGCCTGTAATCCCAGCTACTTGGGAGGCTGAGGCAGGAGAATCGCTTGAACCCAGGAGGCAGAGGCTGCAGTGAGTGAGATTGCTCCATTGCACTCCAGCCTGGGCAACAAGTGCAAAACTCCATCCAAAAAAAAATAATAAAAATAAAATAAAAATAATAAGTGTCTTTTAAATATTCCCTTCATAAGTAAAAATATTCCTCCAAATAGTTATCAGGTTTGTGAGGCCAAAACTAGGGGACTTGTTTGCCACAAGTCCGTACTGCAGAGGTAAGATAATTAACAGAGGGCCTAATATTCAAAGCAGGGAGGGAAGAACTGTTAATACTCCATACAGCGCAGAAATCAGCAGCAGACAGACCCAAGACTGGCTATGAGAAGCACCAGGGGCATAGGAGCCTCATTTCCCTATTACGAGGTTGGAAGCAGATGGACATCCCACCCCAAAAAGTATTTTACCCACGTTTTGGGAACACTTCTTGGTGAATGGCAAGAGTGTTTAAAGCAAAATCCAAAGAGTAAATATTTTAATTCTCTTCAAGAGTATTCGTATTTTTATATTATTTAAATAGTCACATTAACAAGGTACAACAAAAATACTTATACAATATCAGTATTCTTATTCACATCCATAATTACCATAATTAGGAAAAATTAGGAAACTTAGCAAAGACAGTCAATACATATATGTTCTTTTACTTGTGGTGTGATAAATTCAATGTCTACAATAAGTCAGGATGGATCAACATGAAAGCTGAACTAGACACCGCTCCTGAATTTCTCAATGAAAAAGCAAATAGTCCTGGGTGACCAGCAAGTTATACAAACAGTGCAAGACAAATCCAGCTAGAAATTGGAAGCTGCCATTTTGTATACACAAAATACATGTGAAACAGCAAAGTAAACATTTTTTAAGAGGGAGGGGCTTCTACCTGGGTCATTAGAGATATAACTGAGCCAGCTGAGATGACATTTACCATCTCTTGAAATACAGCAGACGGCACTCTAGTGCTTCCTATGAGGCAACATGCTTGAAACCAAGGGCCCAACAATTGTTGTAGGGCAGCAAAATACACCTCTAACACCTACGTTTACCAAAAATGCTGGCATTTCAAACTCTGAGTTGTTCAGACTCACATTTCTCATCCCCAAAGAAGTCTATCAGGGTAGTGTGTCGGATGCTTTTTGTATCTGTGATTTACAGGCACTATCATGAGAGGAAAATAACTTCTGAATAAAAACAAAATTGGCTGACTTGCAACTGTGCATATAACGTCTATTCAAGGGGGCAGCGTGCCTAGCACAGTCCTGACAAGGTAGAGATACAAATAAGTTGGCATTAAAGCACTATTTGTCTTATATGAAAAGAGTGACTCTATCTTCCAGTAAACAAAAGTAAGATCTCCTGCAATGAAATCTTTTTCCTTCATTATCTACAAACTATACAAATAATATTCCTTTTTAACCTAACACTGAAAAAATTATATTTGATTTTATTCTGTTTGATACCAATTGGTATGTCCAGCTGATGCATTTGCAAATACAAAAGAATATCACTTTGTGTTTGCAGAGTCCCTTCCTTTGAAGGGACTTGATGGAGAAAAGAACTTGATGGATATTCTCTCTAAAGTCTTAAATAGGTCACGAAGTAGCAAAGGGAAACAGAGAAGAGGAGCACTCATCAGAGCCCACCTCACCCCACAGTTCTGAGGATGCAGGTGCAAGAACTCTCAAGCAAAGCAAAGCGGAGTGATCTCTCTGAAGCCAAGTAACACAGCTCTCTACACATCGAAAATCTGAGTTAATGTTAAGATAATGATTAGTCAATCCTGAAACCATATGCGGAATCCTCATTTTAAGCCGCTGCTTTAGAACTCGGCTCCCCTGCT